TTTGACGTCATCTTTGCAAGCTTTACCGTAAAACTATCCTTTCGTGTTTTCGCAACCACTTCAACCTTCAAAGCGGAACCCAAAGACCGTTGCAACGACCCTAGAGTTAGCGCAGTTGCCTATGCCTCTGCTGCCGAAGCTCCATGCACATTTGGGCAGGCACGCAATTTGCGGCATAGCTGTGGTCAGCATGGGCAGTGTTCAGAAAGACCATGAAATAGGAGCCTCGGCATGTATGCATATACTTTGCTGGGACCTGGGAGGAAAGCACTCCTGCTCCTGGTAGTGGTTCGAACCAAGAAGCACTCGGGATTGGCCTGACTTGATGTCTCATGCTCCCCCATTTTGCGGCAGGAAGTGTACTTGAAAACCTCCTCTGCGATCTCAGCCTTCGAGCCGTAGACCCTCGGTGGGCGAGCTGTTTTATCTATGACGCAGGTTTATCAGGTCGCGCGGATCAATGATTATTTATTGTCTTGGAGGTGAAAGGGTTGAGGGCCTCATACGCAAAACTGGCAAAGGTTGCTGGGAGCGCATCTGAGCGCGAGTTCGTGTTGAGGTCGTTCTCCACCTGCTCCGCTTCACCTGCCAGCTTCGGCACCACTGGGGTCAGGTTTTAACATCGGGATCCCTGCTCTGAAAACAACGCCGCTTACGAAAACCAATTCGCGCGGCCGATCCCATCTGACGGAAAACAATGATGAACACGATGCTCGTCATGATTGTCTCGGCGAATACCACCAGAGACACTTGAGGTGGGGGCAAGGTTTCGTAGACAGGTGCCCTAACAGCCTGCAAACTCCCAGACGGCAAGACGAACCCAAGCTGACCAAGCTTCGAAATAGCAAGCACAAAGCAACTTCCGACCAGATGCCTGGAGCGCTGCAACACTCTCCCATCATTTCGAGCTTGCCATACCGAGGGCTTGCCTGACACGGTGATTCTTGGAGGCAATTCCCATAATGCAACATCTCTGTAGACCGACGTTGCAGCGTTGCTCCGTGCGCGCACGCTTTTCGACAAACGACCGACCGGCAGCATCGTCAAACTGATGACCGAGACTCCCGAAAACCTCACCCTCATGGCGCAAGCGACACGACACCTCAACTTCAAAGTTGCACTGACAATCCGAAGCAACAAGCCCGCATGGACCTCGCGCAATGAATCAGCTTTGTCCTCCGTCGGTGCTTGCAAAGGCCGGCCTACATTACGTCTATGAGGAGTGACCCCAAGGACAGAGACTGGATCGGAGTCTGCGATCCTGGATTTTGCGGACGCTGGGGA